TTTACCAGAGCATGGATTAAGAATCATAGAGTTCTTGGATATAAAGATCTCTATAACATGACTAAAAATCTTTATGAAAAGAGATTTAGATGTCTATGCCAATATCAGGGATGGACCCTACTTGTCAATGATAGAAAACAAAAATCTTAAGTTCTCAAAGACTTTATCAACAAATTTGATACCAATCAAATGTCGGGAAGTATCTCAACCTTACAACGTACATGTGAAGCAAGAGATTGCCCAATTTGCCAACAAAATAAAAAAGGAGATTCCAAAGAGATTAGGAGGATATGACAAAAGGAAGACAATTGCATACAAGGACAAACACTTAAAAGAAGATGTGATATAGTGGGGGGCCGATAGGCTCTTGATGTAAAATTATTTAGTGCTATATGCAATGATGTAAGAGGCAAATAATTTTGCCCCAAATTAGATGTATAAATAGAGGCCTTCGGGCTAGGAGGAAGATATAATGGATTAGAGAGAAAGATTTGAGCACTCAACTTGTGAGAAAGCCAAAACTCTTCCACCATTCTTATATCAATTTTCAAACATATCAATACAACCAATTTGATAAAATCATTCACATTCCAATCATCTTAAACGGATATGAGTTTTTAAACTACTTTTCTCATAAATTCTTGAAAGGTTAAAGAAGGGATTTCTTTCTTACTTTAACAAAAATAGAGTTTTCTTTATTTAGGATCTGTAGTTTTTATTCTAAAAAACGATATAGTGAGGGCAAGAAGCTAAAATAGCAAAGATCTCGTTGAGGCAAAAGGCCGTTAGAGGGAACGGTTTGCATATTCAGAGCCTGAAGGTCACTTGATTCTAACGATAAAGGCTTAAGAGCAAAACTAAGGTAAAACTATTGTTTTTGTTAAATTTAGAAAGAATTCTTTTAAGATCTTAAAGAATCATAAGGATTATTCATTCTAATGTTTATGCTTGAATATTTATGTTTACAGATTATTCATGATGTTTTAATTATTATTGTTATTATTATTTAAAAAATGTCAGGATATATAATTAAAGGATTAGATAATTTATTAGAAAAAGTGTTAGAAAAAATAAAAAAATATTAGATTTCAACTAAAAAATAGAGATAGACCATCTGAAGAATATAATAAACTTATAAAAGAATATGAACAAAAGATCACATATTATGCTAATCTATTGGATGAAATGATGGATTTGTTTGTTAAAATCCGAGATACAAGGAACATAAGTTACTAATCTCTAAAATTATTCATAAAAGAAGGATATATCTTGCAATATAGAAGTCCATTCCATTAAGGGTAATATTGACTTTTCAATAAAAGTCCATTGCTGGAATGATATTGATTTGTTGACATTTTCAATATTTAGAATTTTGAATAGTCAGAGAATGGCTAATTTTCTATTTGACTTAATGATATTGCAAAATTATAGTCATTGCCCATGTTGGATTTGTCCTAATATGAAAATTGAAGTGGAAAGATCAATGCAAATTTCATTATTTTCAATAATTTCCTTTTGGTTGAACTGGGGGAGTACTTGTGATCATTTATTTGACTTACAGTTTGGTTGAAAACAAGTGTTTGAAAAGGTTGGTTGTGCCTATCTTGGGTCTCCCGAGCCATTTTTTATTCTCTCTCAGTATAGTAACGGAAAGAACGGCAGGGCCTGTGAGATTTGACCCAGTTGTGCACTGCTTCTCCAGCCTCTATCGTGCCTTTAAGCAACCGTAGCGACCTTCATGTTTTGCACCTCAATTCTGGGGGAACGGAAGGATAAGATATCAAGCTTGCCTGGAAAATTTGACTTGTTGTCTATAGTGTTCTGTCATCTTAGCCTTTTAGTGGAAGCGCTAAGTCTGCAATTAAGTTTTAATGTTCATTTTAAATAAAAAAAATTTAATATTTTTTAACTGAAATTTTTCTTATGGTTTTGGACATTTTTTCTTTTTTAACTAGGGAACGTTTATTTAGTTCTTGAAATATTTCTTATAATTTATTTATCAATTTTCAAAGGATATTCAATTACTTTGAAAGTCTCCGTGCTACTTAATTCTCTTCTATACCACTTAGCCCCTGTTTGAAATTCATTCTTTACCGCACATTGTCCCAACAAAATACTTCCGCACATAAAATCCAAAAAAAAATTCATACTTTTTAGTCACACATTCTCATAAAAAATCACTTTTACAAAATATATTCTCAAAACATGGGGCTCAACGTAGCTTCCCATACATTGATGTCCCGTCATCTCTGCCTTCAAATCTTCT